GACCTACTTGTAGATTGTGATCATGGCCACACAGGTAAGCAGTGGCTTTGTACTTCTTAAGCAGTGGTCTCAATTTCTTCAGCAGACAGTCATGCTCTGATTGCTCTGATATGGACCATACCGGATAATGGCCAGCCACCAGGAGATAATCAGCCTTAGACCGTTCCTGAATGAATGCCACTTCGGGGAGCTCGGGGCTGCTGGTCAAGGAAGTCATCAGAGTTTCCACACAGCAACACCGTGTCCAGCATGATGATGGTCAGAGTGCTATCCGTTCGAGGAACGCGGAAGTTCATCTCATAATAATAGTAGGGGAAGTTCCTTAAAGATGGAAATAATGTTAAAAAAAAACAGCCTTTTTGGAAAAGAACAGGGCATCTGCCAAGTCTACACACCGGGCACAGCTGCACTGACAATAGAATTAAATTGCAAACCAGCTTAAGAGTCAGGAAACCAAACTCAATTAGACATGGATGCCTAGACACATTGGCTCACATACCATCTCTTGGACTTCTGGCTGTACTCAATTTGAGCAAGGACGTTTCCTGCATGGTCGTGATTGCCAGCAATGACGTACCATGGAATATTAAGAGAATCCTGAGTGTATACGTCTTCAAATGTGACCTACAACGAGAATTAAAGGACCATGGCCTACATTAGGTGGAAGAGATTCCACTAGGAGTTTCCAAACCAGTTCCTGGAGATCCACTGTCCTGCAGAATTTAGTGCCAACCTTAAATACACATGAACCAGAGTAATCAAGGTCTTCAGACTCACTAGACATTTCCAGGCAAGCATGTTGGAACTGGTTGAAGCCAAACTCTGCAGGATACTGGCCCTCCAGGAGCAGGACTGAGCACCCCTACACTAGACAAGACAGCTTAAACGCTTCTACACCAATTTGCACTTTACACCCAGCACACAACTAGAAGTGGTCATACCAATACTCAACCACTTTTGTAGAGTTAGCATTTGACATTTCAGCAGTAGACCCATTTCATGAGGATTCAGGCTCTTATTAACAAACAAGATAAACAAAATAAATAAAAAAAATCCTGCATTTACAAAACTCAAGTGATCTAAACTCCAGAAACCAAACCTGGAATCTAGGGTCATTGACGTCACTGACGCCCTTATAGTAGAAGTTGTCACCAAGTGCTAAAATGAAGTTTGCGCCCATCTGAGAAGCAGTTTTGGCCATCATGCGTGCAGTGGCCTTCTCTATAGGGGTACTGTTTTTGCCACGGGATGTATGATTTACACAAGCTTCAGTCTGGATCCAGAACACCTGAGAAGAGATGATGCCAACCCCTCAGAGGACCTTGGATGATGCCAACCCTGAAACAACATATTGAACTACCACATTTTGCTATAAGTTTGATTGCATGATATAATAATTGCTGTTAATAGTGTTCATCGTCTGTTTTATTACGTCTTAAATTGATTTTTCCGTACATTTCTGCCATATGTACATTAATTGACAGTCACCACTGATAAGCTACCACTAAATATTGTAGAAACTTAATTTGCTGTAAAGTTGCTTTGCAATGATTTGTATCGTGAAAAGCGCCGTACAAATAAACTTGACTTGACTTTCACAATTTCTGTCAAATAAAGCAACAAGAAAACAATTAAAAATAGAAAAAAATAGTTTATTCCTGCACAGGTCAAAGATATGACGTATAACATCCACCCCAGAGAACACAAAACCTCCTGCACTGGCCTATTTAACAGCAAAAAGCTACATTCTACATAAAAGACGATACCAAGATTAAACTGAATAACGCAAATCAAACCTCTTAAAAAACAAGAAACAGCTGAAATGGTTTCAGGGAAGTAAACATCAAAGTCTGCGTTCAGTGTCCACATTCAGTCAAAAAGAAAAGAAAAAGAAACCTGCTAAAAATGTTGAAGCAAAACAAGAGGATGATCATAAATATACCTTTTGGGGAAAAACAGAATTATGTGACAATTTCCATTTGAGTCACACCAACCATTTAGGCACAGACAGAAAACAACTTCCATCCTGATGTATTATTTCCTGAAACTAGTGGTGAATCAAAACCATGCTAAAATCAGGTGCAGTTCCAATGGCAAAATGAACACAAAACAGTATAAAATCTCAAAAGGTTTAGAGCAAATATTTCAACTCAGGAGGACACTGCAGGCTATGGAATTACAGAAATTACTTCTCAATTGTTTGAATGAGCATCCGTACATATTACTGAGCAGGGAGACCAAACGTGTTATGTTTATCTGTATGTGTAGTCTGTACTATTGGCTCCACTGCTGTAGCCTCCCAGGTTGGGGTAGGCGCTCTGGGTGAAGCTATAGCTCGGATTTGTTGTTCCAGGTGGCCCGAATGTTGCTGTACCAGGTGGTCCATTGTATGCTATTAAGAAAAAAAAAAAGAGTTTCAGAGAGTTGTGGGTTAAACGCATATTATTACACAGCATGTAAGCATTCAAACTCACCTGCATAATTGAAATCAGGTGGTCCCCCCATACCCATGCCAGGCCCTTGATATCCGTAGCCGTAGTCTGGTCCAACAAGAGGAGCTTGTTGATTTGTTGTTTTGCTCTGGATTTGATTTTGAGTCGGAGTCTGATTCTGGCCCTGATTGAGGGGTTTTTTGAATTGTGAATAGGATTGGGTGTACTGATTATAATAGCCAGTCACTGGTGGTGGTACAGCTTGGTATGTGGCCGCGCTGATGGTGGAGGTTGCAAACGGGTCCTCCTGGGGATTCATAGGTGTGCTGGAGTTGGTAACAGACTGGGCTGGGGTCAATCCAGCAGTAGTGGTGGAGCCTGGAGAGATAAATTGATAGAGAATAAAAGTTAAGACGACATCCACATTACAGGAATAGGTAACATGCATTTGTAATCTACATTTACCTATGCAAATAAGCTCTAGTGGAGTAGTGGAGGTATATATGTTGTCAAAAGTCTCTGATCTGTTTTTTTTAAAAGAAGTCTCTTATGCTCACCAAGGATGCATTTATTTAATTAAATACGGTAAAACAATATTGTAAAATCTTAGCATTTAAAAACTTTTCTATAGAAATATATTTAAAATATAATTTATTTTTTTCCTGTGAAATTTTTTTGAATGACTTTTCTTTGCCTGAAAATCATAAAAAGGTATTTAAAATAAGTATTAAACATTAGTATCCAAAACAATATTTTTGCCCAGTACTAATGAGCACTTTGTGTATGATGTAGTAGCATTTTTTTTTCTACTTCCTCATCATTCAGGTGATAATCTAACCATGGAAATCAAAACAGTGATGCTAAATGAGCTAAACTGTCAAACAAGTTGAGGTTAATGCCTTTCATGATGTTAGTGTACCTGCAAACTGGCCAGTGTTGAATCCTCTGCCTCTACCTCGATTGCCTGCATTGTAAGACACTCCAGCCATACCATAGCCCTAAAGAAATAAAAACGTTTTAGACCAAAGCACAAAACAATATTAGGAAAGAAAGAGACCAAGAGAAGATCTAGTATAACTTGTTGCCTTCACCATAGCAGGGAATTTCTTTTTCTTGAGTGGGTCTGCAGGAGAACCTTCTGGAAAAAGCTGTTCTAATGCTGCAAGTGCTGCATTGGCTTTGGCTAATTTCTTATTTGATCCAGAGCCCTGGAATTTCTGTCCATCAACCTCCACCTGAAAGAGGCCCCCAAAAAATAAAAATAAATAAATAAACAAACATGCACATGAGATATAATCAGAACTATAAACTATTCTATCGGAAGGGAGAACAACAGCAGGAAAACAGTAGATTTAAACAGCAGAACTGTCCTCATGCTTACTCAAGGATGTCACCATTAGAAACAGGTTTTAGGGCAACAGAAAAAACAGTTGCTGAACTGTGGATGACACCGGTTGAATTTCTATGACTCACAGGAATATAAAGATAGACAGAATGTTGGTGTTTTAGCCGCAGTACACTTTTTCCAAAAAGTGAATGCAAACACAAATGGATATTATGATTTTTTTTTTTTATTGAAGTGACAGCATATTAACAAGATTATAACGCATGCCACATCACCTACAACTTCATATGGTGAATAAAAATGGGAAGCAGGGCTAACATTACAGTCCCTTTACAATAATTCACATACAGAGCTGTCGGGTTCGTAGATTGCCAGGAAATTTTAGGCTTTTATTATTTGTCCTTATATATTTACGTCAAAGTTCAGGCTATTATGATGGCAGATATGCTACTTACTTGCTCAGGCGACTCATTCAGGATATATGCCTTGTAGGACTTTTTGCTTACTATCAGTGACATTGTTATAGCTAGTCAGATCTGGTGCAAGCATAGTTAAACCTCAAACAATCATATTCACCTAACCTTTCCTCTGCACAAATACTTAGTTTTATGTTTGAACCACAGATATCAAAAAAGAGAGACAATAATTTCATAGTGTACCTCTAATAACACAGTATATTGAAAAAAGACGCATGAAACATGGATATTATTAAAACAATTTATTCATAAAACCATTATTTACTGTTGAGTTGCTCATGTTGACTTTGACCAGGTTCCTAGAGAAAAGAAAGAAGGTCCGTTTTAATAACGGATTACTATTCATTTATGATGAGCGAATACTGCTGATCTACTGTTGATGAATTACTGCTAATATTCGTTTTGATGATAGTTTCTTTGCAGTGTTATTATTTCTTTAGAAAATAACAGTGTACATATGTTGATTGCTTTTTCTGTTTGTGAACAGCTGCAAACAAAAAGTGCCCAATGTATTTTGGGCTAATGTGATTTTACCGTTTGAATTTTATTCCTGGTTATTCTACGCGATATCCTAACCTTGTAGCCTCTATCGACTCTCGTCACAAGCATACAGTGGATTTAAAAAGACTAAAAATTGTAACAAATTGAGTATTTTGATTTTACAATAATTGGTTGATTAATCCAAAATTTACCCTTATTGGATTTTCAGTCTTCAGTGTCACATAATCCTTCAGAAATCATTCTAATATGCAGATTTGCTGCTTAAGAAACATTTATCAATGTTGAAAGCATTTTTGCTGCTTAATATTTTTGTGAAAACAGTGAAAGATTTTTGTTTTACCATTGCTTCCTCACTAATGCGCGTTAAATATCGCATGCGATTTATCGTGCAGCCCTACTAGGTACCACCCTTCATAAAACATCAGAAAACTAAAAATGAAATGTTCAAAGCAGAAATTGAACAATGTCATGATCAATTTGCTGTCACTCATGCCCATGCCACAGTACAATTCAGAACAGTGTTAAAGAACTCCAGCTGAGAGTGATATTGTCATCACTGTGACAGGGAACATTTGCATGAATTTTCATTGTGACTTGTAAAGTACAAGGACACTAGCTCAAAATAAACTAGCTTTAGTCAACATGTCTAACCTCAATGGTGAAGGTCTTGTCGTTGAAGCGTCCCTTGACAGAGACAAGTTCATATTTCAGACTTCTCCGATTCTCGTTGAGTTCCATGACGGGATTCTTGCCATGTTTGGTGAGGATGGGGCCACCCTGCGAGATGAAGTGGAACCAATCATGCCAAACCAATTTCCTACAGTCTACAAAGGCATCAAACCCCAAAGCTATTCAAGGAGGCTCAATCTTTGGATGCTAACCTCAGTGCCATCATCAGACCCTGTAGGAGTGGTTTCATCTGAACCGGTGACCACAGGCGCAGCAACAGTCTGGCTCTTATTTTCATCAGCAGGCTTGGCCTCTGATGGCAAGGGCACACCTAATGCTTGCAGAACCTGTGTGTTGTGTACATGGCATAGACAACCACTGAAATTCACACGGTTTATTTCACACTCATTAAAGACCACAACCCTGGAAAATGTTATCTGTGCAACAGCTACATGTGGCATCTAGAACAAAGTTTCTTTCAAACTTGCGACTTTCAGCAGACTCACTTTCTGGGCAACATGAAGCTTGGCACTGCGTTTGGAGGGGCCTGTAGCCTCATAAGTTACTCCATCCACCTCTACAGCCATTGTGAACTGAGGTTCATGTTCAGGCCCAGACTGTGATGCCAATCTGTAGAGGGTTCCAGGCCGCAGCTGGTTCAGCTTCATCAGGGCATTTGCTGGTTCACGCCTTTCTGCCAGGAGAACACAGGTATTATGGAAAAACAATACGGCTGACATTGTATACAATACGTATTTAACTAAAAGATGAGGCATGCTGTATTTTTCTACTATACATTAAAT